CTAGAGTTAAGTAGGAGCCCAGACTCCATCTGCTTGTCTATGGGGTTTTCACGTCTCCGGTTTACTTTGGCGGTTGCAATATGACAGAATCAAAATCCTATAAGACCAACTGCACCAATAGCAGCCATAAGCCAGCCAGCAACCCAACAAACAGAACACACACACACACACAAGGAAAAAAAGAACAACAACAAAATCAAGCTAGAAGCAGGAAAACTAAAACCCATATAAACAAAGAAGTACAGCATTGTCGATGACACTCCTTGGGTATAAGCCGATTGCTCTATTATCATCAATTTTCCCAATGACCCAGAACACCAGACACTGTTGGTATGAGGTGTCTATGCAAGTCCAGTTCCACCTTGAGCTATAACCCATGTTTTTGCCCTACATGGTTTGAGCTCCCATTTGATTGGGCTCTGTTGACCCCTAAGTAAAGGGGACCTTCCTGGATCAATTCTTCCAAGTGCAGATCCCTGCTCAATGAATCACAACCTGTGTTGTGTCAAAGCAAGGTGGGCATTGAGGTACTACATGGGCCCCTTTCCATTGGATACCCACTGAGCCTGGGGTTCCCCCGCAAGGTCCAATGACTACGTGTGTGTGTCACTCTCTGCTTCCTCTCCCATCAGTCCAAGAATGCAGGCAGCTTCCAGGCAGAGTTCTGTTCATTTAGCAAGGCCTCAATGTTAAGTCCTTCTGGTGTAGCCCCTGTGTTGTGCCTTGCTGCCGCAAGGTCAGCTTCCATGGTCATCATGGTACTTAGTCCGTGGTGTGGTTCACTGAACGTTGGGTAGAAACGAATTGTAGTGTCTGCCCAGGAGCATAAATCTGGCCCATTGACCCCCTTAGGTTCCCTACACTCTGTTTAGCATCCTTTCCTGCTGTGAGGTTAGTTCTCCCCGGTCGCCCACCATACTTACCAACAGAACTGTCAGCGTCTCCTCCACAATGTAGATTCTCCCCTCTCCTGGCCTTGGCTTGAATTTCCAGCAACATTTTCCTTCCAATCCTGTGGGGCGGGGAGGGGCTGTTGATTTGCCCCAGCCTTGTTTTTTTCCTTAAATCGTTTTATTAGGGGCTCATGCAACTCTTATCACAATCCATACATACATCAATTGTGTAAAGCACATTTGTACATTCATTGCCCTCATCATTCTCAACACATGTACTCTCCTCCTAAGCCCCGGGCATCAGATCCTCATTTCCCCCCTCCTTCCTCCCTCCCCCCTCCCTCATGAACCCTTGATAATTTATAA